CTCAGTGGTCTGTTCCAGGGAGCCAGACCCCAGGCCACCAGGGGCTTCAGCCGATCTCTACTCACGCTTGCTTTGCTTGATCTTAGCCTGCCACTTCTTGTTTCTCTGGCAGACTTTCTATGGGAGCCTCCCTCCACCTTTGCACACTCTCCCCAAGAGCCTGGCCAAGACCTGTCTTCTTGGGCCCCACTGTGCTCCTCTATCCAGTGGGCGTCACCCTGTGGCCTGTGAGGGAGAATCAAATGGCAGGGAAGGGCTGGGGTGGAGGGGACCCTCACTACAGGACTTTGTCCTTGGAGTCCCCCTCTGTACAAGGAGGAGATGGGCATGTCAGTCTCAGAAGGCCCATCTCTTGGAGATATCTTGGTTTGATGGGTTTTCACCTCTAACAAAATTGTTATCAAATAAATTACATGTGATTATTGTCTAAAAATTAGAAACTGCGTTCCTGTTCCTGATGGCACCCCTCGAGTCATGTCCCCCACCCTGCCCCCTTTGCTGGAATACTCTCACGCCCACACGTGGATATACAACATGCACACTTGTCCTCTGTGCCCCGGGAGCTCTGAACAGCACGGTCACTCTGGTCTCCTTGGGGTCAGCTTTGCCTACTGCCCCAGACTAGCTGGGAGCAAGTTTCCATTGCCTCGGAGAAGGTGACCTGCCTGCTCTGGCCTGACCCAGCACTACCTGTCCTTACCTGTGGGCTGCTGGTCTAGGGCAGGGTAGGGAGCAGGGCCAGTGGGCCCTCATCCTCCGGGGCTGGGATCCAGTATGGCCAAGCCTCCCCCAGCTCTTGAGAACTGGAGGCTGGCCCAACCGCCTGGGGCAGGAGAGAAGGCAGCAGTTCAGGGTCTGTACCACCCTCCTTGTACGGAAGGGGAGGGGTGTCCTCAAGGTCAGGCCTACGACCAGCCTGGAGGGGGTTGGTGGATAGACTCTGGTCAAGCACAGGTGCCTGTCTCCTGGTGCCGTCACCCCTCTGCTCCTTTTCTCTGTCCATGAGTGTGTCTCTTTGTGCTGTTCCTGGCGCATTTATTTCTCTCTACCTCTGCCCTCTCTTTCCCTTCATCTCTTCTTCCTGACGTGGCATACTGGAAAGAATATGGGCTGCAACATCAGGCAGGCCTCAATTCAAATCCTTCTCCTACCACTTACTGGCTTTGTGATCTTGGATGAGTCACTTAGCCTCTCTGAGCCTGTTTTTTCATCAGTAAAATACCCACCTCTGGGATTTGCACAGGGATAAGGTGAGCGAATGCCGTTACAAGGCTAATCTGGTACATGTTGGCCTCGGAGAAGGAGGACCCTTCTTGTAAGGCACTGAGATTGACACCCGGACGCTTTGACGCCGAGTCTGGTGTTCTCTGCTTCATAGGACTGCCTCCACTGTGGGCTGGAGGAGCAGGAAAGTAGAGATGAGGAGCCCACAGGCAGCCAGGAAAGGCCTGGCTGGTCTCAGCTGGCTCCAAGGAGCTGGTCCCCAGAGAGGCCTGTGTGGGGTCCAGCGCCTGCCATCTCCCTAGCCTGGCAGGGTGGCAATGAGGCTGAGCCAGTGCCCTTCCTTTGGGGCCTATGGGCCTGGGCTGATTTGCATGAGGGCTATAAATAGTTGGCACACCTTGCTTTTGTGCCGTTACTTCGCTCCCTGGCCTTCCCACCAATGTTCAGACACTCTGCAAGGTAGGTGGGTGACTCTGGCTCCCCTGTGCAGGGGGGCACCTGGGGTACAGGGGCCTAGGACCTCTCTCAGGGTCACATGGTGATGGAAGAAGATGCCAGCTCATGGTGTCTGTCTCCCTCCTGGTGTCCATACAGTGCAAGTGGGTTGAAGGAGGCGGTAGACCCTGGCCAGGGTGCATACTCTAGTTTTACTCCTAGAGAGCTGGGGTTAGGTGGCCTAACCCCACCTAACCCACGCGGCCCACAGGTACCCCTCCTCACAGCGCTGTGGCCTGGCTGTGCAGGTTTGGGGACGGGCCTGCTGTGGTTGTGGTTTTCCCTCCGGTGGCTTCCGACTAACTGTGAGCACAGCTGCCCTGAGTGTGACTATAGAGAGCTTCAGGGCAGGCCTGATGGGCAGCCTGTGGGGCTGGGCTTGGCCTCACCCTCCCAGAAGTTCTCTGACCCGTCTCCTCCACACAGCTCTGGGGCAGTCTCCACGGCCAGCTCCTGCTGGGCGACCTGGAGGTAGGGGAGGTCATGGAGCCCAAGGGCCATCTGGACTGGGCCCCAAAGGGAGGCGGTGGGGAGGAGGAGCTGGTCAGCAGGTGTTTGGCGCACCCACTGCTCCAGGACGGGCAGCTCTATGTTCCTGGAGAGTTGGTTTTCCTCTCTGGGAAGTGGGATCAGTTATCAAGACTGTTCCCAGGCTGCTGGGGGCGGGCAGAATGGATGCGGTGGGGGATATGAGTATACTTTGTAATCTGTGAAGGGAGGTGCACAGGTGAGAGATGGGTGCTGCAGCAAGAGGCGTGATAATGGTAACAGGACCCCACCCCAAGCCCTGTGGCGATGATGTTGGCTTTCGTCCTACACAAGTTCTCGTCACAACCCTGAACCAAGGGACCATTTCTCATCTGGAAGATAGGAGTGACTGAGACTCAGAGAGGCCAAGTGATTTGCACAGAGTCCCACATCCAAGGCAGTGTTGGTGTCAGGGTCTTGCATCCAGGCAGTTTGACTATCGTTTTGCCACCTGGGCTTGCCCTGACCCCCTCTTCCCCAGGAGCCCAGCCCCCTGTAGCACAACTGCTCCTCCTTTGTCCCTGCCCACCTGCCCACTCAACTCTCATCCTCTGAGACACTCAGAAACTGTCATTGCCCTCCCAGGGGCTCAAGGTTATCCAGTTGGGAAGCATGAGGCTGAGCCATGTCTGCTGGGGTCAGGCCCTGGAATGTGGACGCAGACGTGTGGTGAGTGTGTGCTGTGCAAGGTCCCTGCCAACCATTTTGTACCCCCAGGCCAGGCATGGGGGGCAGGAAGGGCATGATGATGGCTTTTTTGTCTGGGGGTTTGGGACACTCAGCCAGACTCCTACATACGTTCCCAGCCACTCCTACGCAGTTCGCTCTTCACTTCAACCTTAACTGAGTGCCCACCACATGCCACCCACTCAGACATCCTCACAGGTACACACATTTCCACAGCTGTGCAGTCACACCCACACGCACCCTCACACACTCATGCATGCTCCCGCCCAGGGAGGAGCCAGCAGCAGCCCACGGCTGGCTGTCTCTCCCTGCCTACCAAGAGATCATGGCAGCTGGCCTGGCTGGACTCAGGCTGAAGGCTTTGGGGCCCGGGCTTAGGCGTGAGCTCGCACACCCACACTACTCCCTCTGTGTAGGAGGCAGGCCCAGGCCGGGGACATGGTGGGGTCTGCCCTGCCTGGTCCCTCCCCTCTACTCTGGCTGCTAGCCTCAGAGCACTGGCCAGTACACTGGGCTGGGCCGCAGGCTGAGGTCAGTGTTTCCTGTGAGCTCATCTGGGCTGGGAGCTCCAGGCAGACCTGGCTGCTGCTCAGGCTGCCTTGTGGAGGAGCTGGAGGGAGCTGTCCCAGGAGCAGGGTGGCTGTTGCGTGTGTGCACGTACATGTGTGAGGGTAGGGGTGCGTGTTTGAGTCTGCCTCTATGCTGGCTTCTGTTCAGGGTGGAGTGAGTATGCCTATATGTATACAGTTGAAGCACGTTTGCGGAGCACCCTCAGGTGTGGGGTCTAGACCCAGAGCCAGTGTCTGTGTAGGTGTATGAGTGTGCATGCATGGGTTTGCACATGTGAGCATCCTCTACCAATGGCAACCCGAGAAGACCCTCAGGGTCACCTCCTGTAGTGACCCTTGATTTGAGGAACAGCAAGGAATGGGGAATTGTGGGGCTGGCCTGTGTGGTTTAAAGAGCACAGTCATGGGGCCGGCCCGGTGGCACAGGTGTTAAGTTCGCATGTTCCGCTTCTCGGCGGCCTGGGGTTCGCTGGTTCGGATGCCGGGTGCGGCCATGGCACCGCTTGGCAAAAGCCATGCTGTGGTAGGTGTCCCGGATGTAAAGTAGAGGAAGATGGCCATGGATGTTATCTCAGGGCCGATCTTCCTCAGCAAAAAGAGGAGGATTGGTAGTAGTTAGCTCAGGGCTAATCTTCCTCAAAAAAAAAAAAGAGCACAGTCAGTATTATATTATATTCAACATTAAAATAGGTTTATGTTTGGAAAAAATAAGTTTGAGGGTGCAGGCAGCCTTCCATGTAGGGAAGAGGCACCTGGCCCAGAGGGGCTCGGGTTCAGAAGGTTCAGCACTGATGTGGGTGGGGCCTTTCACGGTCCTGGCCCCTCAACGAAGTGGGTGCTTCATTAGTGGAATCCCAGCTTTAGGTTCTGGCTCAGCCTCAGGGTTTCAGTTGCCCCATCTGAAGAGTAGGGGTGGTCATCTTGGCCCCACTTGTCTGCCTGGGTAATTATGAGCAAAAACCAAACTTTGAAAACCAAGAAGGGCCGCAGGGGGCAGGGAAGGAGGGTACCGCCTGTCCATCTTGGCCGACGCTGAGGAGCTGAGCCCAGCACACGCTACATACCTGCACATAGTAGTGCGCAGCCATTGGGAGTTGAAGGAGGCATCAAATGACTGCCCAGATGAATGACTCAGGGTCGCAGACTCAAATGCCTCTGGGTTTGAGGTGGGTTTTGGAGAGGTGTGAAGAGGGGGCCCTGGTCTGGAGTAGATGGCAGGGGTGCCTGACAAAAGGGGCAGCCATCCCAGGGCCAGCCAGCTATTGCCCAGCGGGCCTGATGTCACATTCTCCAGCCTTACCAGGGATGCCACAAATCAGACTTACATAAAACTTCTCAATTTTAATGTTGGCAACTAGGACTAGGGTATTTTAAGCACCATGTGGGCCAAACTCAATGCTGTGAGAGCCCTGGGGGGAGTCGGTACCCAAGCACCTCCCATGGCTGTCCCTACTGGTCCTGCCATGCTGCCGGACCTCATCCTTTCTGTCTACACAGCCCCACTGCAGGCCCCAACATGGCGCCGTTCCTGCGCATTGCCTTCAACTCCTACGAGCTGGGCTCCCTGCAGGCTGAGGATGAGGCAAGCCAACCCTTCTGTGCCGTGAAGATGAAGGAGGCGCTCAGCACAGGTAGGGCTGGAGGCTGGACCCTGGAGAGGTGGCAGCAGCCAGTGGGGCTGGGAATCGGGCCCAGCAGGAGGCACTCAAGGGGCTGTGCCTTCTTCCCCTGGAACTTCTGAGGGACCCTTCTCTTCCTCATCCCCATCTCCCTGCCCAACCCAGCTGTGGATGCAGGACAACAGAGGCCACCTTAGTGTCTATAGTGCCTCTAGCACTGGCTACAGGGAGCCCACTCTGGGACTCTGGGCTTCTGGCTCCTCCCCCGTTGGTTGTTCCACCCAACAATTTCCACGTGCACACTGTGGTGGCCACTGAGGACACTGCCATGCTCTAGGGCTCACCTGGCCCTGCCCCCATGGGGCTCACAGTCCGGTGAGGGAGCCAGACAACGAGTCCTGTGATAGGGAAGTCCAAAGGAGGCACCATCTTAGGCTGGGGTCAGGGAGGTCTTCCTGAAAGAGGCAAACATCTTATGCCATTCCTTCTTGCTTCTGCCCTCACCTGGTGAACCCTTGGCTCACCCCTTAGGTCTCAGCTGAGCTGTCCCTTCCTCTAGGAAGCCTTCCCTGACCCTTTGGCTGGGGAAGGCCACCTGACCATGGGCAGGTCTAGAACCACCGGCCTTGCCCTCTCACAGCCATGATTTAATGTTCACTTGAGGGATGAACTGGTTCATGTCTCCACCCGGGACTGGGGCTCTAGGAGGACAGGCACCAAGTGTACTTTTCTCTCTGCTGTGTTCCTCGCCTCCAGTCCCTTGGGGGCGTCGGGGAGCTCAGCGTGTGTTCACTGAGTGCATGCGTAAGGGAAGGTGACATCTAAGTGGGTCTGAAGGAAGAGGGTCACAGGAAGAGGGAACAGCAGGAGCAAAGGCCTGGAGGTGGGACCTAGCAGGACGCTCTACAGGAGCTGCCGGCAGTTCTCTGTTGTGAGTGAGACGAGGCTGGGGAGGTAAGCAGAGCACAGTTGTGAAGGCCAATGAGTGGAGACTTGGTCCAAGGACACTGGGAAGCTGCGGCGGGCCCTTGGGGAGAGAGAGCAGGCACATTCTCTCAGGGCTAGAGGCTCTGGGAGGGACAGAGGGGCCCTAGCCTGCCGTGCCTGCCTGGCCCCATTGCAGACCGTGGGAAGACGCTGGTGCAGAAGAAGCCCACCATGTATCCTGAGTGGAAGTCGACGTTCGATGCCCACATCTACGAGGGCCGCGTCATCCAGATTGTGCTGATGCGGGCCGCCGAGGAGCCGGTGTCCGAGGTGACCGTGGGCGTGTCAGTGCTGGCCGAGCGCTGCAAGAAGAACAATGGCAAGGCCGAGTTCTGGGTGAGGGGCATGTGGGCTGCGGTTGTGCGTACGTGTATGTGTGGGTGCGGTGAGCATGGCTGTGGGGCGCGGGGCCCTGCTCTGCCCACCGGCACAGCTCTGCAGCCCACGCAGCCTGGGTTCAAGTCCTAGCTCTGCAGTTTATCAAATCCCCAGCCTCTCTGAGCCTCTGTTTCCAAATCAGTAAAAGGAGAAGCTACGAAAAGACCCTGCCTCGGGGCCAGTTGTTCAGATGAAATGAGCCCTGGATGTAGAGAGCTTACTGGAACCGGGCTCATGGTAGGTGCTGGGGAGAGCCGTCCTCGATACTGTGCCTGCATTTTTCCCTTTTAATTTTGTAAAGGCAGGGTATTCACATAGTAAAACTTTTCAGACTGTGTGTAAGGGGTGTCCCAGCCCCAACACCCAGCCAGGCCCCCTTCTCAGAGGCACCCGTTGTTCCCAGTTCTGTTTGGAATCTTCGCAGACATTCCAGGCCCAGGCAGGCAGTGGGGACAACAGTTATGATCCTCAACAGTGAGGAGGGGGGAGAAGGGGAAAGCTGATGGCCTGCCACTCACCTGCCGAAACCAGGACTCTGCACACGTATGTGGCTGTGTGTCCCTCGAGGCTGCAGGATGCCAGCGCTGGCATCTTCTGTCCCCCGGGGTGACATGTGGGCTCCTGCAGCCACGATGTCCTCACTGGAAAAGACCCTGTGACCATGGGGGACTCTGGTCAGCCTCCACCGATGGGTGGAGGGGCTGGGCCAAGAGAGCAGTTGACCCAGGGCTGTACCGCCCCTCGGCCAGTTAGGCAGAGACATGTGCTGTGCTCTCTGTCCACTACCTCAAGGGACAATGTCAGTCACTAGGCCTGGGGCCTGGAGGAGGTGAGAGTCCTGCCCTCAGAACCAGCCAGTCTATGTTGGACTGGACATGCAGAGCTCCCCACACAGACAGACAGAACCAGCATGGGTATATCAGTGTGCGTGTGTCTGTGTTTCTGCATGTGCAGGGGCACAGGGTGCCTCCGTTCTAAGATCCTTGTTAGGGGGGCAGCGGGGATGGGGGTGGGGAGTTTCCCTTCCCACTCTGTTCCCAGGCCGGGTGGCCAGGCTGGGTGTGGGCTGGATCCTTTCACTTCCCCAAATGTAATAATACCCCTGGGTGGGGGGTGAGGGGTAGGGGCGGGGCTCAGGGGTGGGGCCCTGCCCACACTGGGCAGACGGGTGTCCGGCTAGGCTGCCAGGGCTCCCTTGGCCTTGGGGGACCAACCATGGGGGCGGGTTCTGAGTCTGGCTTGGCCCAGGCCCGCCCTCATTGACCCCCTCATCCTCACCCCTGCAGCTGGACCTGCAACCCCAGGCCAAAGTATTGATGTCTGTGCAGTATTTCCTGGAAGACATAGGTAAGACGCTTCCTGCCTGGGCTGGGGATGGAGGTTCAGAGGCCAGAGCCAGGACAGAGGTTTAGGAAGCAGCCCTCATTGGTGATCTGTCCAGGGTCACCCTGGGAGGCACTGCAGGAGTGTTGCCCCTCCCAGGGGCTGGGGCTGATTCCACCGCTCCATGGCCCCCAGATTGCAAGCAGTCTGTTCGGGCTGAAGACGAGGCCAAGTTCCCAACAATGAACCGCCGTGGAGCCATCAAACAGGCCAAAATCCACTACATCAAGAACCATGAGTTTATCGCCACCTTCTTTAGGCAGCCCACCTTCTGTTCTGTGTGCAAAGACTTTGTCTGGTGAGGGCTGGCTGTGCCCACTGTGTGGGGGCGGGGGGCAGGGAGGGCCCCCCACCCAGTGCTGCCCTGCACTCACTCTGCCTGGGGATTTGCCTTTCAGGGGTCTCAACAAGCAAGGCTACAAATGCAGGCGTAAGTGTCCCCCACAGCCCAGTTTGTACGCACATGTGTGCACACGAGGCCTGCCAGTGCCTCGCGTGTTCACAGGAAGGCCTGTGTCCCTGTGTGGGACCGTGTATCTAGATGAGGGGTCTGTGTGCTTGAGTGTGTGCACATGAGATTTTCCACATCCGAGTGCATGTGTGTATGATGGTTCCGTCCTGAGAGCCGGAGCCGGCTTGCTCTGGCTCATGGAAAGCTAGTTGTGCATCTCCCTTCCCAACTCTGCGTTCGGTGATATCACATTGATAGCCTGAAGTGGGCCCCAATGGAGTCTTTACACAAATCAGCCACTGCTACACATCAGGGCTCTTTTCCCCTAGAGAGGCTACTGGACCTTTATCAGCACACCCCCCGCTGCGTGTGTGCTTGTTAGATACGTGTGTCATCTGGGCACACACATGTGAGCATGCCTTTTTCCACGATGGTGCGTGCGTGAGGCAGTGTGGGCTGGTGCTTATGAGCGCATGCTCTGGAGCCAGACTGCCTGGGTTTGAATCCCAGCTCTACCACTTCCTAGTTGTAGGGCCTTAGGCAGTTACTTAACTTCTCTGTGCCTCAGTTTCCTCATCTATAAAATAGGGACAATAGAGTCATTGTGAAGATCGAATGGGATAAGCTATGTAAAGCTATACTTTGAGTGTGACTGGCACATGGTAGCATTCTGTGTAAGAAGCCTTGTCATTCTTACCCGTGCTGTGTATGTATGTCCAGGAGTCTGTTGGGGTGCATCTGTCGGTGTGCACGAATGTGAGAGGGAACTTAGGAGCTGTTTGCTGTCCTGGGGCAGAGAAGAGGGCGAGGGGGGCTCCCCTGCCTCCAGTCCTCTCACTGCACTACCCCTTGCCCCTCACTTTTGCCCCCCTGCCTGCCCACCAGGACTCCTGGAACCTTCCCTAATCAGTCTGTCCTCCCTGCCCATCCTCCTCAGGCCCCTCCTGCGAGGGCTGGCAGGAGGAGAGAAAAATCAAGCTCTGAGCCCGAGGCCTCTGGGGTGAGGGTGTGGGCGGTCAGGGAGAACGGTGGCTTTGTGTAGAGGGCTGGACTGGACCAGCAGGCGCCAGCTCAGACTCTGCCCCTCCTGGTGCCTCCTGGGCCTGTGCCTCCTCAAGAATGCAATGCTGCCATCCACAAGAAATGCATCGACAAGATCATCGGTCGGTGCACTGGCACCGCGGCCAACAGCCGGGACACCATAGTGAGGCTGGGCCCAGGGGAGGGCTCTGGGCTTCTGGGGGGCTTGGCTAGGTGGGAGGGATTTGGGTTCTCCTTACCCCTTTCCTGTGGGGCTCACCCTTCCTCCCCATTTTTCTTGGTCCTTCCTTGGACCTCTGGATTTCCCAGTCCCCAGTGGATGTCTCTTGGGCGTCCTGCCTTGCATGGGGTTGGGGGAGAGCTAGGGGATGAGGCAGGGGCTGAGCTGCCATCTGATCCTCGACCTTTGACCTCCCCCACTCCCACAGTTCCAGAAAGAACGTTTCAACATTGACATGCCGCACCGGTTCAAGGTTTACAACTACATGAGCCCCACCTTCTGTGACCATTGTGGCAGCCTGCTCTGGGGGCTGGTGAAGCAGGGATTAAAGTGTGAAGGTGCGTGCCCCCGAGCTCTGGGAGCTGGGCAAGGGGTGGGAGGGTGCTCCGAGCTGGTGCCTGCTTACCTGGACCTCGTAAACGCCAGCTGACTAATGCTGCCTTTGCCCCCTCTCTTGGGGATTTCACATGGATGAGGCCTCGGTGAGCCCTCCCCACCGTCCTGACTGGTTCTACCATTTATCTGCTGTGTGACCACCGGACAGGTGGCCCTACCCCTCTGAGCTCAGTGTCCTCAAGTGTAAAATGAGGGTAAGAGTAGAGTAGGACCTAGAGAGATACTGAGGGGCCCGAGGGCAGAAGGTGCTCAGCCAAGGCCTGCTGCACACTAGCAGTCGCTCAGCAAAGGGTCCTCACCGACCCCTCCCCTGTCCCAGGCTTCACTGGTTAATGAGAAACAAGAGGCCCCTGGAGGAAAAGTGACTTGTCTCCATTGTCCCAGACATTCTTTGAAGGGTTCAGAATTAGGTCCTATATCTTCTGCTAAAATTTTTCTTCTTTAAATAAAAAATAAGGAAAGATTTGAAGTACTCATGATGGCTTTGGATACACTTTTTCTAAAGACAGGAAACCCAGCAGACCCCACCAAAGCCCTCCTTTCTCCTGCTCTCTCCTCCACCCCTCTCTGCCCTTGGCTGGGCCGGGGGCGAGGGGGACAATTCTCCTGGAGCCTGCTGGCTGCCTGCCTGGCCCGGCCTGGGCAGGGACCCTGATGGCCTGCTTCTCTCTCCCGCAGACTGTGGCATGAACGTGCACCATAAGTGCCAGAAGAAGGTGGCCAACCTCTGCGGCATCAACCAGAAGCTCTTGGCTGAGGCACTGAACCAAGTCAGCCAGGTGGGCAGGTGCCCTGGAAACTCTGGGCAGCGGGTGGCAGGGTCAGGGGACAGTCGGAGCTCACACCTAGTCCTGGGAAACTACAATGGGGGCTTTTATACCCAAGACTCCACTCCTGGAAGATGCGGTTCACGAACTAGGCAGCAGAAGGTGGCGGACTCGCTCTCCTGGGATATTAGTTACTGAAGCATTTCTGTATTGAGGGTGAACCTAGGGGACAAGATCGGAGCACTTTGAACTCAGAGCCTTTGTGTGTGTGTTTTGTGTGTGTGTTGGGTGTGGGTGAGGCTCGAGGGATGCCACAAAACTTTAAGGTAAAATTCTAGAATCAATCACCAATGAAAATAACACACAAATCTGTTGATTAAGTGGTTAGGAAGGTGGTGTCCGATTTATAAAACTCTTGTTAGCAATCAGTGCCTTCCAGACCACTGAGGTATCCCTGTGCCCTGGGAGTGTGTGTGTGTGTGTGCGCACATGCGTACGTGGGCACACCGCCTGGGGCTCTCAGGCTCTGCCCTTGCTGTTCGCCATTGGTATTGCGGATGGAGTTATGGATGGTTGGGGTCCCCCCTTTGGGCTGGAAGTCCTGAACATGGTATAACTGACCGTCTGGCCCCCTAACCTCCACCTCCCTTTCAGAGACCCACCCGGAAGTCGGAGTCTGGGCCTCCGGAGCATTTCGGGATCTACCAGAATTTTGAGAAGAAGCCAGGAGTCTCTGGAGATGATGCCCCAGGTGAAGCTAAGGCCCATTTCTCCCAGGAAAGCCCTATCTCCCCACAGGGGCTCAGGATGGAGCCTAGCCTCCCTCCACTGTCAAGTGAGACATGAAAGGAGGTACCACCCATGGGGAGGGAGCCCCTTCCTCTCTGAGGCCCCTTACCCCAGCCCACCCCTGGGCCCCAAGGAGGGCACTCGGCAGACAGAGGCCTGAGACTGAAGTGCTGTCTCTTGGGCAGACCACAGTACCTACGGCAAGATCTGGGAGGGCAGCAACAGATGCAACATTGAGAACTTCACCTTCCACAAGGTCCTGGGCAAAGGCAGCTTCGGGAAGGTGAGAGGCCACACGGCTCTGGGGAAGCCCTGGGGACCCGGGCCCGGGAGCCCAGGGGCACCTCCTTCCCCCTCTACCCGCTTCCTCCTGGTTGGGTCCTGCCCTGGTCTTTGGCCCGGCCCTTTCCTGCTCAGCAGTCCCGCCCACCCATCAGGTGCTGCTTGCAGAGCTGAAGGGCAAAAAGGAGTTCTTCGCCATCAAGGCCCTCAAGAAGGATGTGGTTCTGATTGATGATGACGTGGAGTGTACCATGGTGGAGAAGCGGGTGTTGGCGCTCGCCTGGGAGAATCCCTTTCTCACCCACCTCTTATGTACATTCCAGACCAAGGTGCCCAGCCCTCCCTCTGTCATTGCCCCTGTGGCCACAGCCTCCCTTAGCCCCCCAGGCCAGGCCACGTCTCTCACTCAGGCAAGGCCTGGTCTTCCTCCTCTGACCACTTAAGGCAGGGCTGTGTCCCCGTCCTCAGACTTCCCAGGGCAGGGCCATCCTCCTCTCCTCATGTCCCCAGGGCACAGTGGTCCCCTGCTTCCTCTTGGGGCTTGCCCCCAGCGGCCCTCAATGAAGGAGCCTCTCGCTGGTTCCTATGCCTCTGTTTACCACCCTCCCCACCCTAGGACCACCTGTTCTTCGTGATGGAGTTCCTCAACGGGGGAGACCTGATGTACCACATCCAGGATAAAGGCCGCTTTGAACTCTACCGTGCCACGTACGCAAGGGCCCTGTGGGGGAAAGAGCCCACTGCCAGTCTGCCCGCCATCCCTTCGACCCTGTCCCCAAAGAAGCCAGCCTGGGCTAGAGCTGGGGTTGGAGAGATCTGGGGTAGCCGAGGCCGTCCCCACTGTGTGGGAAGCCATGGGCAACTGGTGAGCTCTGGCTGGGAGCATAGCACAGACATGCCGAGTCCTGTCCCCTCCTTGGGCCTCGGCCAGGACAGCCTCATAGATGATGATCCTACACAACACAGGACTCTGGTGTGTGGCCCCCAAACTATCACGCACCGCTCAAACTCTGTGTGTGTCTGTGTACACACATGTATGTCTGTATAAATACATACACTCTTATGACAGAGGATTAGCTTATTTGGAGCTTTCCTTCATAATTTTCTTGTCTACATTGTCTGCCAGCCCTCACTTGCCTGAAACAAGATGTGCTTGATCAGCCCGAAGTTGTCCATGGAGTTATTTTCAGCATTTCCTGCCCTGGGGGTGGGGATGAGGGCCTGGGGAGAACCAGGGTCTGGTCTCGGAAATCCCAGAACACTTTGTCTTGCTCTCTCTCTTCAGGTTTTATGCAGCTGAGATAATCTGTGGACTACAGTTTCTACACAACAAGGGGATCATTTACAGGTGTGGGCTTGGGGCATTGGGGTTTTTAGGATGAGAAACTCTATCCCGTTATACCCCCTGAAATGCTCTGAGTGGGACCTGCTCAGCCCAGCTACAGCCCTATCCCTACTTGGAGTCAGTCCTTAGTTAGGTATCTGCATAAACTCCTACTCCATTGCTAGAATTCCTTGTGGCCCCTCAGCCTAGCCTGGCACAGCTCCAGGGACTGGGAACTCACTGCCCATACTCGGCACCATTGGCGGGAGTGCAGCCCTGACTGGGACAGTGTCTCCTTTCCTTGGATCCATCAGTCTCACTCTGAAGTCCCATCTGAGCAGTCTAAGCTTCCACCAATAGGGACTGGTTCCGTAAATTCTCAAGAAATGGCATTCCCATCCTACAGTGGATTACTATGCACCCATCAAAAAGGCTGAGGCTGTGCTCTGTGTGCTGATGTGGGATGATGCCAAGATGTGTTGTCAAGTGAAAAAGCAATCCGTGCAACAGTGTGTATTGAATTAATATTGGTTCAGGTTTTAAAACCTGGGGGTGAGATATATATTGTAACGTGCTTGTCCGTGCCCAGACTCGTCTAGGGAGGGCCTAGGTGAAGGTTAGTGGAAGATGGACTGTGTGCTGTTTGCTCCTTTTTAGTACTTGTCACCATGTGCCATGTACTATCTACTCCAACAACTAACTGCATAAAGATAGCCATGGTCCCTGCCCTTGTGGAGTCAGACAAACCTAAGCCCAGGGCCACTTCCACTGCTGACCAGCTAGGTAACCCTGGGCAAGTGACATCACCTCTCTGAGCCTCGCTTTTTGCTTCCGGAAATGGGATGATGTGTCCAGCATGTAGCACACAGTAGGTGGCTTGCAAGAAGCACCTGCTTTGGCATCTTTTCCCTTCTGCTTTCTGTTCTCTTCTTCATTCTCTGGTCCCCTTGGGGAGAGTCCTAGGCTTACAGGGCTGAAAATGGGGACATGGAAGCTGGTGGGGAGGAGGGCACTTGGCCCCTGCCCACTTCCTTTCCTATCTCCTCCCCTCAGGGACCTCAAGCTGGACAATGTGATGCTGGACCAGGATGGCCACATCAAGATTGCCGACTTTGGGATGTGCAAGGAGAACATATTCGGGGAGAAACAGGCCAGCACCTTCTGCGGCACCCCTGACTATATCGCCCCCGAGGTGAGTGGGCACCCTCCCGGCCACAAGCGCAGACAGACACCTTGTCTCAACAGAGTGGGGCTGGGAGGCCTTCCCAAGGACAGCAGTGTCCAAGCCAAAGGCAGGAGGGGGAGGAGGTCCAGGCAGGGCTCATGCTCAGGAGACCCTCTCAGCTCCTGCTCTTCTTCTCTTACTCCAGATCCTGCAGGGCCTGAAGTACTCGTTCTCCGTGGACTGGTGGTCCTTTGGAGTCCTTCTCTATGAGATGCTCATTGGTCAGTCCCCCTTCCACGGTGACGATGAGGATGAACTCTTCGAGTCCATCCGTATGGACACACCACATTATCCCCGCTGGATCACCAAGGAGTCCAAGGACATTCTGGAGAAGGTGGGAGACCCTGGGCTAGGCTGGCTGGGGCAGGGGCCAGCAGACATGGGGTCATGGGAATGCTGGGAGCCGCCTGTCTCTGAAGGGCAGCCTCCTGATGCTCTATCCTAACGCATTGAGGGGGATCGCTCTCTCATCACATTCCCTGGAACTCCTATTTGAGGGCCTTGAATTGACTCAGCCTGGTAGGTGATGACAAGCTGAGGGTCAGGAGACAGGCAGATCTGAGACAAAACTCTGAATCTGTCTCCTTATCTGCACAATGGCGATTATGAGAGAGCCTGCCTCACAGAGTTTTTAGGAAGAGAACATAAATGTGTGATGCTCAGGTCTGTGCCAGGCAGAGAACAGGCACTCACTGAACAGCCTCTGCTTTTGCTTGAGAGTCTTGGCACTCCCAGGCCACACCTGTTGTCCCTGGGAGACCTGGGAGCACAGCAGGCCAGAGAGGCTCCCCTCCACCCCAGAGGCCCCAGGCCACACCGCTGGGCTGGGCCGGGCCTGCCTGAGCCCCCCGGACTGCTTGGGGTTTGCTGAGGCTCTGGTCCCCCACAGCCCTCTGGTGCTAACTGGGGCCCCTGCTGGGTTGCAGCTGCTTGAAAGGGATCCAACCAAGAGGCTGGGAGTGACAGGGAACATCAAAGCCCACTCCTTCTTCAAGACCATCAACTGGACGCTGCTGGAGAAACGTGCGGTGGAGCCGCCCTTCAAGCCCAAAGTGGTATGTGATCCCACTCAGGTGGGGGCCACCCACTCAATGTTGCCCCCTGCTGCCTTCTGGGGTGGGCATCTCCTCCTTTGCCCTGCCTCTCTCTCACATCATTTGTGTGCTTTCTCCCTCTCCCTTCTTCAGCAAACCTGCTTCCCTGACCTCCCCGGCACATTCATTCACAACCTCTACTCTTGTATTCTCATCATCTCTCTCCTTACTTAGTCATTCAACAAACATTGGGAACTGTGGCACCAGCCATCCTTTAACATACATTCTTTAACACTCGTTGTTTGCAGGGGACTATGCTTTGGGAATCAGAGTTAAGGCCTCCCTCTCCCCTTCCCTCCCTCCCTCCCTCCCTCCCTCCAATCCGTTTTCCAGTAAATATTAGGAATGCTGAGTGCCTGCTGGGTGTAGAGCGCTGTGCTGGGCTGCAACATGGGAGGCCCGGTCCCAGAGCTGGAGGGGCCCTGGCTCCACAGAAAGATAAGAACCTTGCACACTGATGATCATTTTTGATATAAGACAACCATATGAGAGATGTCACAAGGCCACACATGATCAGTGGTTGTTGGGAGGGTCTGTCAGCAGGAACCCAGGATGCAGAGAATGGGGTGGGTCCAAGAAGTGGGACGTGGGAGGGCTGGGGACACTGAGCCAGGCAGAGGGCAGCTGGGAGTCAGCACCCAGAGACATGTCAGGAAATGGGCCCAAGGCTGCTCTCCTCTGCCAGTTTTCGAAAGAAGCCAGATACTTGGATTTTTATGTGAAATTGCCCAATTTAAAAATAATTGGCTTAAATTCCATTAAAATCCAGTGCTAGTCAAAGTGATCGTACCTGCCAGCTCAGTTTGGCCTAAAGACCACCAGCTTCAGCACTCTCTCTATTACTATTTCACTATATCCTCAGAAGCAGAGAGTTGGCAAACTTTTCCTGTGAACAGCCTGATAGTAGATATTTTAGGCTTTGCCGGCTGGATGGTCTCAAAGCAGCCATAGACAATATGTTGATGAGTGGGTGTGGTATGTCAATAAAACTTTATTTGTGGACACTGAAATTTGAATTTCATTTAATTTTCACATGTTGTGAAATATTATTCTCTGTTTGACTTTTTTCCTAAACACTTAAAAATGTAAAAGCCATTCTTAGCTTGTGGGTCCTACAAAAATGGGTGGCGGGCAGGGTTTGGCCCATGGGCTGTAGTTTGCCAGAACTCTGCTCAGGACGATACCTACCTTTCCTCAGCAGGCCCAGGGTCCTCTGCTGCCTTCCCTCATTCCCTTGGGGAAACAGCATCTGCCTTCCAGCCGGAGCTCCACTCAGGCTGTTGGGAGAGACACTCTCTTCTGTTCTTAATAAGGACAGCTCGGCCTGGCCCAGCCCAACGGGGATTCTGAGGTGTTGGGAAGCGGTCCCTGGAAACTTGGGGACCTTCGGAAGGCTGCCCCTTGGGTCCCACTCATGTTCTCCTGCCCTCTGCCTGCAGAAGTCCCCTGGAGACTACAGCAACTTCGACCAGGAGTTCCTGAACGAGAAGCCACGCCTCTCCTACAGCGACAAGAACCTCATTGACTCCATGGACCAAGCAGCCTTTGCTGGCTTCTCCTTCGTGAACCCCAAATTTGAGAGGCTCCTGGAAAAGTGAGGTTCCCAGACATGCCGCCCAACCCATCCCAGCCAGGGAGCCTGGGTCAGCCAGCATGGTCTGCCCACCCAGCCCAGACAGAGCAGGCTGGGGCCACCCCTTCCTCGGCACCTGTCAGCCGCCCACCATAAGCAACAGTGTGATTGTTGTGATTTCTGCTGCTGCCCTCTTATCGTCCCCAGGAGGGTCCTTGGCTCCTGCCTGGCTGGGCTCTTATGGTACTTCCTCTGTGAACTGTGTGTGAATTTGCCTTTCCTCTGCCCTCAGAGGGAAATTGTAAATCCTGTGTTTTGTTACTTGAATGTAGTTATCTATTGAAAAAAATATATTATATATATATATATATATATATATATATGCACATATATATATATAATAGGCTGTATATATTGCTCAGTAGAGAAAAAAACATATGGGGGACTAGTGATGTGTTGATCTTTTAAAATATATATATATATATATATTTTATATATATATATATATATATATATGACCAAAAGAAAAAAGGAGCACAAGCTGTTTAAACAACCAGGTTCTTTTATTTGTGTGTCTAAATAAACACCGAATGGTACTGACCTGGCTGTTGGGACATGTTTGTCCCTGGAAGCTGGTGGCCCCTGCTCGCACTTCTGGCAGCTCTGTCCTGGGAGCTAACGAAGCTGTTAGCTGCAGATGCAGACTCTGGGGCTTTCATGCAAATGTGTTTGTATTTATGGGTTTCCTCTGGCTCTAGGGCCCTGGGCCTAAAGCAGACTTTGCTGGGTGGCTGAGGGAGCGCCGGAAGTCTCTGTGGGGTGATGGAGGAGGCGGGACCAGCTGCACATTGTCTCAGGAGAGTGAGGGGCCAGTCTAGAAGCACAGAGAGGTGGAAGGCCTGGCTGAAGGCATGAGCAAAGGCCTGGAGGCTGCCCAGACTCAGGGGAGATGAGAGGAGAGGAAGGAAGTACAGCTTAGGCTTCAGGAAGATCTGGATTCAAATTGCAGAGTAGCTGAAAGACGTGAGCATCTCACTTAACCATTTGAAGCCTTGGTTGCCTTCTCTGTAGGATGGGGACAAGGCAAGGTGATACGAGATGTAACTCCACATCTCATCACTATTCATTCCTGTCCTTGCCACAGAGGAGTCTGTGTCTGAATTCTAGAACCTATTTCACAGGGAGCCCTTGCCTACCTCTGGGGCAGAGGAGGGGAACAGGGTAGGAGAAAAGGGTGAGAATGCTGAGTGGCTGGTGGAGGTGGAGAGCCATGCTCCAGTGTGCCCGTTGAGAGTCAGGAGACTGGCTGCAAGAGCTGAAGGTGGCCGGTGTCCCCCTGAGCGCGAGTGGCTCTCCCTCCCACGCCTGCAACGTCTCCCACTCTCTGCCTCCCATTTCTTCCTCCCGGCCCCTCTCCTGCTGCTCCTGTCACCTCTCTGGGGCACAGCCTTGGGCAGGGCTCACCTACCAGCCTGTCTGGTCCAGCCCCAGCCCTTTGTCCCTGGAGGTGGGTGAGGTGCCCCCAGTGCCTGATTGGCTGGCCCTGGCAGCCAAGCAGCAGACTTCCAGTAAGTTCATTTTTCTGGGCTGAGGTACAAGTTTCCACAGCTGGAGAGGTGCCAGATGTGGTAGGGCTGGTGCTGGCCAGGGGAAGGGGCTGCGGGGATGGGGGGCTGAACTCTCCCCAGAGACACCAAGTGCCCTCCTCCCCTGTCCACATTCCGTCCTCTCAGGAAATTTTTGTTGAACCCCAGCTCTGCTTACAGGAGTGAAAATCCCAGCAATGGGGCTTTGTCCCCTTGGGCTCACTGTCAGGCGGGAGAGACAGACAACATAGCAGAGCTGTGCTGGGGGACACTGGGGCTGTGGGAGCCCAGAGGAGCTGCCTGGGCCCCCCTGTCCCTTACCTCTGCTGCTATACACACAGGCCCAAGAACTCCCCAGGGCTGTCCAGAATGGGCTTAGAACACAAATATGGTTGGTGTTTGCATTCAGAGCCTCTCAGCATCCTCCTGCAGCTCCAAGGCCGAGCCTTGCTCACAGAGCCTCAGTTTCCTGAGTGCAATGGGGGAGTAAGTAATTTATCAGCCAGAGGCAGTGGAGGGTAGTGGAAAGAACATGTGCCCAGAAACAGGAGCCTGGAGTTTGAGTTCCACTATACTAGGCACACAGGGTGTAACCACCACAAGTTTCTTCCTCTTTCTTCCTTGAGCCTCAGTTCCCTCACCTGTAAAATGGGACCATTAATCCCTGCTGCCTTGTGGAGCTCCCAGCTCTGGGGAGCCCCTTAAGGACTGATGCTGCGTACCCCATGGTGCTGGGCAAAGCCTGGGGGATGGGGAGGTAGCTGCTGGGGACACTGCCAAACTGCCTGGGAGGCTGTGCAGCTCCAGGCCTGTTCCAAGAGTTGGTGAGGTGCCAGGCGGCCTCAGGAAATGCCTCTTGTGACTGGGCCCAGAGGCACACTTCCACTGGGATCTGGGGTCCAGAAGCAGGCAGGCTGCCCCTACCCCCCACCTGTGCAAGTAGGTGTGCAAAGAGAACAGTGAGCTTGGCCCCCACTACAAGGGCTAGCTGGAGCAATGCGTCCTACCTGAAGTGTGCCAGACCTCACAGTGCTGGACAGAGTGACACAGATGCAGGAGAGCCTAGGGGCAGGAGCGTGGGCTCTGCTGTCAGATGGTCCTGGGTTCAAATCCAGCATGTCCCTAGTTGTGTGACCTCAGTGAGTGACAACCTCCCATAGCTTCAATTTCCTTTACTGTAAAATGGGAATAACCACGCTGCTGCTTGTGCACCAGGATGATGTCTATAAGCACATCCCATGGGCTCAGGACACAGCAGATGCTTAGTAAACAGCAGCCACTGTGTCCCCATCCCTCGACAGGATGAAACATGTCGGGACAGCAGGCCCACCAGCAACACATTGGAACCCCCGGGTCTGACTGGACGGCAGGAGGGCAACTTGGCAGTTTCCGTTAAAACTTCAAATGTACCCACCCCCTGCCGCAGCAATCCCCCTTCTCAGGCAGAGCTACCCAGAGAAACCTCACCCACAGGCCCCAGGAGGCTGGCCCCGGAAGCCCACCTGGAATGTTTCCCTGGGGAAATGTGTGGATTAATTGGGAAAAACTGGAAGCGAGCAGAAGGCCCAGCAGCTGGGGAGCTGGTTAAATACTTTCCTGATGTGGAAAGTGGTACAGGGCCAAGAAATCAAAAAGAGCAAGGTAAAGAACCAAAGGTTCAGAGTGATTCCACCCTGTGGTTCCATGGGCCAGCTTATGAGGGCACCCAAAGGCCTGGGGGCATAGGGCAGGGCTACAGAGATGAAGGGTGAATGAGTGGACTGCCCAGACCACAGGTCCCTTTAAGGCAGTGGCTCTCAAATTCAGCATGTAGTTTACTAAGACGTGTCCACTCTGCCAAGTCCTAGCCAGCAGGTCTCGGCCCTGACTGTACAGTGGAACCCGATGCCCAGGCAGCCCCCGGTCTAATAAGATGGTGGTCCCTGAGGAGGCCAGGGCATCAGTGTTGGTAAAGCTCCTGGGTGGGTCCAATGTGCACCAGGATTGAGAGCCAGTTGGGTGAGATCGGGGAATCTGCATTTTGCCCAGTCATCCTGGTGAAGCAGGGAAATGCTGTTCTGAGCAGGCCACACCCTGGAAGGGAAAGTCACCAGCTAGCATGGCCCAGCTCTTGTGTGGGGGAGGTCTCAACCTCTGGCCCCTGGGACCCCTGCCGGAGCACCTTGACAAAGATCGGTGATCCCAAGAGGCACGCGGGAGGGAGGCCGCAGCCGGGCCTGGCTGTAGCTCCCTCTGGTGGTCGGCCGGCTCGCGGGCTCTGTGTCGAGGCGCCCAGACCCTGGGGGGATCCGCTTTGTGCCAGGTGTAGTGCTGGGTTCTTGACCTACCGTGTGTCATTTGTCTCTGGGGAATATTCCAGCAAGGAGGTGCTGGAGAACCGTTTTGCAGAGACTCAGAGATGGGCAGGTTACACATCTGGACAGCTCCCCCGGCATTAAGAGGGTCTCTGGGCTGCCCCAAATCTCAACCCCATTCCCCGGCATCCATCACAACATTTCCCCAGTTACATTTCCCCAATTTATTCCTCATCGAGGTGTGAATAACGGCTATGACCTGGGAGGACCCTGTTTTCCAGAGGTTTTAATAGCAGGAAACAGGGGGTGTGTGGCGTTTATTTGCCTGGGTGGGAGGGACCCGTGGGCTCCAGGACTTCCCACTGCTGCCTGTGGCCTCATTCTAGCAGGCTGGAGGCTTGCTCCTCTGCCTCCTCCCTGGCCCCCTCCAAGCTGCATGAGACTTCTGGCTCCCTCCTCACCCTGCCTGTGCCCAGAGGGTGACCTCAGACTGCCGTGTGTGAGCCTAGAGGCTGCAGAGCTGGCTTTGGTTCCTCTGAGTCCTGACCACCCTCCGAGGCACCTTCTTATCCCCTTGGGGCTGGGGAGGGAGAGATGTACAAAACTGAAAACATGGAACCTGGTACCAGAGAAGAGGAAGGAGGGCAAAGAAGGGCCCCAAACAGTGGGAGCCGGGCCTGCCTGAGTCAGCTCCGCTGAGGTCAGGCTGGACCCATGAGGTTTGGGGTACAGGGGCGCTCCCTGGGTCTCTCACGTGACTGAACTCAGCCCTCACCAGCTGTGGTGTCAGTGATTGAAGTCTTTGGGACTTTAACACTAGTCCCCAAATCAGGCTGCTTAAGTGGCCTTAAGAAGACCCCCAATTTTTCTCTTTCCCTGCTGTGAAGTACATACTCTGAAGGCCCTGACATTTGCTGCTCAGCCCACATGAAGCACCGTCCAAAGCCAAAAGCCTTTTGGGAAGGTTGTTGTCTATGCTGTCTTTTTCTTCTTCCTAGAGTGGAGTTTAGCTTTCTATTGATTTCTGTTGCTTTCTGTGAAGGGAGACTAACAGCTGTCAGTGGGGCAGCAGTGTTGGGCTCTGTTCCTGAATTCACACATTCCTTTATGGAACAGGTGCCTGCCCAGTGCCAGAAGCTCAATGGGCATCACTTGGAGCTGTCACTCAATAATAGGCAGGATCTAGCATTCGCTGTGTGTGGCTCAAGAGCTCGTGACAGTGACACTCTGGGTCCAGCACTGTGCTTGATGCTTTCACTGAGTTGTTGCCTGCAATAAATCCTCACAACAGCCCTGTGAGGAAATGACTGTTAGACTCCCCATTTTACAAATCAGCAAACTGAGGCTCTGAGAGGAATTTGCCCAATGGCTCTGGGTGGGGGCTCCATTGTGACTTTTCCTGCAGAGATGAATAGTCTCTCACAGTCTCCTGGGCTTGCTCAGGAGCTGTCAGGGAGAGAGCTCATGGGTCCCTTGTCCTGGTCCTCAGAGG